AAATTTGTCGAGTGAAAGACCTAAAACTCTCCTGTAGTGACTCTGCCCTCCTACGGTTAGAGAAGCAGACATGGTTACCTCATTTGGTTTTGTAAACGATGGAGTTACAGACAGATCTCTGCTTCTTTCTCTTTTTATCTGAGAATAAAAATGGGAGAGGAAAAAGAAGGATATGTTGTTTAATTAATTTACCAGAATTTAAACAGAAAAATTTTAAGAATAAATTGCAGATCTAGAGTTTTTTTTTTCTCCTTTCATCGATTGATTGGAAAGAGGAGAAGGAGAAGGTGCTGAGATAGAGGAAAGGATTTTTTTGTCAGTTCACTTTATTAGTGTTTTTAATCCACGTAGCAGCTTACATGACATCCAATTTGGCGCACAATCAGCAATTAAAAAAATGAAGAGGAGGGACCCAATCATCTTACAGTGATTTTCGACTGTACACACATGTAAATTTCACTCTATTGTTAAAAAATTAAGAGTTTATTAATTAAATCGTAAACATTTTCCATTCATACAGCAAAATAGAAAATTTTGAAAAGTCCATATACCAAAATTACAATTATTCCATAAAAAAAGAATTATAAACTTAAAATATTTATCTATCTATACTATATATAAATGTGGAAATAGTGGGATATTCGGATTTTTGATAATTTTTAATGGAATTTAAAATGTGCTAAAATAATTTTAGTCATAGTCAATTAGAAAATTACATTTAATTAATTGATTAGATATAATTGATTAAAATTCCTTTTTAAATAAATACATCTAGATAATTAAGTATTTTAAATTTTAAGTTTAATCCTTTTTAATATATATTAATTGGATTAAAATTCCCTTTTAAAATAAATACATCTAGATAATTAAGTATTTAAATTTTAAGTTTAATCCTTTTTAATATATATATATATATATATATACTAATAAGACATTTGAAAATTTATATTTTATTTTAAATATTTTTATTTCAGAGAGAATAAAAAAAAAAGTATATTTCTTTTATTAATATTTCTTTTTTCTTTATAATTTTGAATGATTTGATTGGATATATTTTTTAAAAAAATAAATTTTAAATAGATATAACATAATTTTTCTTTAGAGAGATATCAAAAAAAGAAAAATATAATTTTTTATTAAATATTTTTTTCTTTTATTTTTGTAGCGATGAGATTAGATATATATTTTTTAAAAATAATTTGCAAATAGACACACATATTAAACTTTTCAAAATTTTTAATTTTTAATTTTCTAAAATTTTATTTTTAAAATAAAATAAATATATGTATGTGATTGGGCGAACATTAAAATTTTATTTTTTAAAAAAATATATATAATATTTTATTAATATATCAATATATCAATATACATTGAAAATTTTTTTGTTGGTTAATTCTGAAAAAGGTGCATTCTTAATAATAATGTTTTTTATTTATTTGTTCGTCACTGAATGATTTGTAACTGTTATTATTTTTAATTCAAAATAATAAGTTTTATCTTTTTTGAAATTATTTTTAATAAATACATATGATAGGGAGAAATCTGAAAATTTTTATATTTTATGTTTTGAATATTTGATTCTATTTTAATTATAACTAGGTAAAAGCTCACGCATTGAGCGAGTTAATTTTCTTTTAAAAAATAGATTTATATGAGATATTTTGTGAATTTTTGAAATAGATGTAAATGAGTTATTAATTACTGTTATTTGTATTGATAAAATTAAATTTTTGTGATTTTTATTAGGCTATTTTTTTAAAAAAATTATGAAATATGTTCATTTTTCAATTTTAGAAAATTATTATAATTTTTGCAATAATTATATGATTTTGGCAATCTGTATCAAAATTATTATTTCATTTTTATGTTTGCACCACTTGTGTCCATTTAAGGTTGTAAATGAACATATAGCTCTCTTACGATAACCATAAACAAATCGAGTTTGAACTTGAAATTTGTTAAACAAAAACGATGTTATTTTAATGTAAATTTAACTAATTTAGACTTATTGAACTAGTTTGTGAGTTCGGTTCATATACTAACTTGCAAGCTAGCTCATGAGCTTGACTTAATAAAGCTCACTTGCAATCTAATTGAGCTCTCTGAGTTCAAGCAAGTTTTTATTGAGCCAAGTCCCAAAGAGTTTACGAGCGATTTTGCTCATTTACAATCCTAGATTACCGACTTGACTCAAGAGTGAACCATGCTTAGACCAAGATGAGTATTTAAATAAAGTTCTTTCAAACCGCTGATTTTATAGATAAAACTAGTTATTATTCAGCATGGGTGTTTATATATTGTTTAAATTATATTATTATTAATTATATTTTTATTTCTAAAAACGCTTGCTTTTCGAATATGAATAATTGAAAATATTTTAAATAGATTTTTAATTAATAATATTATTATTATTTGAGATTCAAAACATATTTTTATGTATTCTTATCTCTTATTATATTTGGATAGATTGAAATATAGCAGACTGCCGTATTATAATTTGGATAGATTTGAAATTATAGCAGGACTGCATTATATAGTGATAGTACGGTATATAATATATTATATATATACAAGATATATAAAAGAGAATTTGAAACTTTTTAAAAATTGTTTTAATCGATAAAATTTTTTAATTGATAAGATATTAATTGTATACTGTCATTCCTGAAACTAAAGTTGTTATTCAAGTCTTGATATTTCCACGTATTAAACAGAGGCTGCATGCGAATCTTGTTCTTCTTTGTAAAGAAGAGTCAAATTCTCTGATCCACAGAGATGAAAATTATGAGGAAGAATAAATTGAGTTAAATCACTTTATTTTGAATTAAATTAAGTTATCCTTGGTTAAGTTATACTTAATCACATTCAAAATTAAATTAAAATAAATTAAGATACCCAAATTTAAAATTAAATTGAGCAATAATCGATTAAGTTACATTGATATTTTATTAAATTAAGATATCCTAACTGAATTTAAATTAAATCAAATTTCATTGAATGACACTTGAAATTTTATTAAATTGCAAAACCCTAGTTGAAATTAAGTAATATTAATATATTACTATATATATATATATATATATTAATTATAATTCATGATTTAAGCTCTGTTCAAATGAGATTGATGCAAAGCAATTCATGATTCTAAGTAGGGATTTGTAATTGAGGATGCAAAAGGCTAGTTCTTCTAAGCAACATTGAGATTGTGTTTTAAATTAGAAGACAAGGTAACATGGCAATCCATGCTTTGACAAGAGTTGCATATCTATTTTAATTGATTAATAAATGGAAATATAAATTAAGAAAAGAGGACATTTCTAACTGTTCAAAAGGATAAAATGGAAATAATTTTTTGAAAAATATTTATTTTAATTGATTTAGTTCATGAATGAAACTAGAAATCTTATCTGTAAATCAAATTATTCTAATTAATTTTGATGCTTATTAATAACATTTCCATTTTCCTAACAAAAAATCTCGTGTATGATTAAATGAGTGTTCAATTCTAAATTACTTAAAAAAATCATTACTTTAAAAATTTATATTGGTTACTATATTTAATCTATAGTATAATTGCAATATTATAAACATAATTGTTTTTTTTTTAAATATGATTTCTAATTAAACTAATATTTTTTTTAATATTTATCTTTTATTGGCAAATAATAATAAATTTATAATATTCCGAAAGAGTTAACATTCCTTGTTGAATTAATATTTATCTTTTTCTAATATATCTTCTATTGGCACATAATTATAAATTTATAAGGGTATTTTTATCTATCCAATTACCCTGTCCCTTTAATTCACAATTTTATATTTCTTTTGTTCGATACTTTTCCTTTTTTTAGAAAAAATATAATTTTTGATTTTTTTTTTTACACTATCCCTATTTATTTTACATTCTAATAACAAAATTCATTGTTATTGCCTCCAATATTAGGCAATTCATAACTTTTATTGTCCTGATTATTAAATTAAAAAATTAAATTTTAATTATTTTAATAATTAGTACTCATTATTTAATTATAATAGAATAGTATGTATCATTCGATAGTTAATACGAAGGTATATTTGAAAAGAAAACAAAATAAAAATTATAATTTAACCATATTAAATATATTCGTGTTAAAAATAAACTAGGATAGGATGGAGCATATATAATAATATATATATATATATATATATAATATATATATATATTGAAGTTTCTTATATATATATTTGAAGTATTAAGAAAGAGGGATTCGAATTCAAATTTATTACCAAGTCAGTATATGCATTTACCACTAAGTTAGATGATAGATACTTAGACTATATTCATCTCATACAAATAATTTCTAAAAAATTATTCTTTCAAATTATTATTTTTATATTATCATTTTATTTATAACTATTAAAAAATAACATAATAACAATTAAATATTTATACAAAAATAATTAAAAAAAATATTTCATACCCTATTGAAAATAGAAAACAATATAAAAATAATTGCATCCTCTATGAATGCTATTATTCTTATTTCAATTGTCAAATTGTCCATTGATTCACCATGATTAGGATGATTCATAGAGATTACAAATGATGCATTGTGATTTAGGGAAAGGAACTAAAAAAGTCATTTCTTCCTATCTTCATAACCTGACAGGTTAACCCAGGAACCGAACTCAAAAACCCAACCAATTTTGCTTTTGAACCATTTGAAGAAAAAAAAAAAAAAAAAAAAAAAAAAAAAAAAAAAAAAAAAAAAAAAACAACAAAACAGAATAAACCAATTGAATTGTGATCAAACCAGTCCACGTTAACTGAATCTATGCAGGTCGAATCATTTCGTTAAGAATAATAATAATATGTATTATTATATGTATTATTATTCAATTAATACATACTCGATATTTTTATGACACTGATTGAACCATTGACCCGCTAACCAGTGATCCATCGATTTGGTTCTTTAACCAGGTCGTGTTCAGGCCAGGTTTCATAATACTGCTTCTAGTAGAACGCAAATTGTATGAATCTCATTTCTATTGGTAAATAAATAAATAAATAAATATCAAAGTAAAAATTATCTATAACTTTCAGTTTAACAAGCCAAAAATATAATCTAACAAGCCAATCTATGTTAATTCTTTCAAGCAGAGGATACAACTCGGTAACAGAACACAGCAAAATAGCATCCACTACAAGTCTGCAAAGAAATTACTTGTGCTGCTATCAGTTTGCGCATTTTTCTGCTTACCTCCTGAAAATAGTAATAACATTTAAGCCAAATGCAGCAAATGTCTAAATTATATATATTTTCAAGACTCGGGCATATAAGATTACTGCATAACATGCATTAGATCAAAAACATGCAGAAGCTATCGATGACCTTTGATGACCATTCAAGCACCAAATTTTTTTTTTTCTTCAAAACAAAGAAGCATTTAAGCTGGGATTGGTCTTCCGTTCTAATGTTAAATCCATAATTAAACATAATACTCCTAATTCTGGTACAATTAGTTAAATAAGTTTCTACATCTCACTGCAAAAGGGAACCTTGTGAATTCCTAAACGTGTTTGACCATCACCCACAATAATGTTGACTGATCAAGACAGCTTGTGCCATGCATATTTGATTTAAAGCACTTCAGAGACTTGTAAGCTTTTTCAGGAAATAATTTGATTTGTTCAACCTTTTCAGCAATTACTACTTTTCCTATTATACAAAAAGTGCCAAATAAATGTAGGTTTAAGCTTTTATAATTGATTAGCATTTGAGGAAAGCAACAATCTAGTTGCACCAATGTGCAACATGTAAGAGTTGCTTATCTAACAATACATTGATGAAAGATTCACGATTCAAAAAAGCCTCACAAAACGTACTATTATTGTTCCATATTTCCAATAAAGTAAATTCAGCATACCTTTCTTAGGTTTTGGAGGATTAATATCAACATCCATCTCATCACTATCACTGTTGGTCACATCTTGATCCTTCTGAATATTTCCAGAATGTTGCAATAAATCATCTAAATCCCAAAGCTGAATGAATAAAACATAACAGTTGAGTTAGGGCACTTGAGAAGAAATGCTACTGGAAGAGATGTTTGTGTCTGTGGGTAAATGCATGCAGATGTATCCAGCTTTCTATATCGCGAGAGAGAGAGAGAGAGAGAGAGAGGGGGGCTTCATGCACCTTTAACATTTGGTCATGTGATATACTGCCAAGAAACTTTCGGTCGTGAGAAAAAGCTACAAGAACAAAAAAAAAAAGTGTCAAACAAGCTTTTCTTCACAAAAGCATCACGACTACTGCAAACGAAAGAAACAACAGAGGATTACACACAAAAAGAAGGTGATTTGAGGCAAAAAATAGCATTTGTGATTGGTGATTCATCAATGCATGTTATAGACTATTGATGAGCTTATATACACATAAATAAACAAGTTGATAAATATCCAGTTAACAGGTACACAACCAACCACAAGGTGAAAAATCAACCATGGTATGTGATCTAGATCACAATTTTCTATCAGGCAAATGCAACTGATATGAAGTTCCTTATAAGGAAGGACATATAGTACCAAGATGCTCAATGGGATACTCTGAATGCTCTGCAAGTGGTTGGATGATTCTGTTGGGTAATATGCCTACCAGACTGAAAAAATAAACAGAAGAAACAGAATCAGAGGGAAAGAATAAAAGAAGTATGATCCAAAAATGGGGATGAAATAATGCCCACCTGATGAGTCCATTCTCAGTTCCAACAATGACCCTATCTTCATCTAGCTAAAACAGGAAGGTTTACACATTTCCATAATATCCTCGATGGATAAAAGTGCTGATAAAATCTGAAATACATAGAAAATTCACCTACTCACCTTCAACAAAGCATCAATAGAATTTGGTGATAGACCAACAAAGCGATCACTGGAAATCAAAAAAAGATTCAGGACATTGCAAAAAGCATGAAATCAATATGCAAATGTATACAACAGATGCACATTGAGAGAGAAAGAGATATCAACTTGGAACACTTTATTCCATGGAAATAGACTATTTTCAAATGGGCTTTCTAACTTTCTAGTTTCATCTTTTTCAATGAGAATACCTGCAATCCTTGAAAAATCCCCATGAATACAATAATAAATTTCCATTTTGTGTTCCACAGATAACCTTCCGACCATTCTGACAAAAAGAAGCTGCAAATTAGAAGAGTATGACAGATAAACCAACGAAAAGTATCATTTTGGTCATTTACCTTAACAATGATTTCCGTCAATAAAATGTTTACAGTTTACTACCTACTGATTAGATGAAAGGTTAGTGGTGCCAAAAACTAAAGTAGTGGAAGAAAAAATATGAAGAGGGCCCCTTAAGCATCAATCGCCATGTTCAAGGGCGAATAACTCTTTTGGAATGAAAGCATGCCTTGAATGTTTAAGAGCTTACCTTCATCCCTAGTTCCTCCTCTTGTTGTAAATATGCGATTTATATGGGGGAAAATCTTCCACATGTTTTCCCAGTGGAATTAAAAAAAAAAAAAAAAAAGAGGCTTTCACATAATTGAAGATTTGGAAGGACATGAAAAGCACAAAACTTTTAAGTATGGCCAAAATGCTACCTTCATAATAGCAACAGATAATAGCTCTTCTTCAGAAAATTCTGACCGAGTTTGGACCTGTCATTAACTCAGAACAAATTAATCACATTGCAAAATTCTGAAAATTAACCCCCATATATTATTTCATTATAAGAAAAACACCTTACTTTATTGCTTCTAAGGTTGCAAACTGAAAGAGTCCCATCTCCACTGAAAACATTGCAAAAGAGAACTTCTAAGAGTTTCACCTTGAATTACAACAAGGTTAAAAAAGGAAACAATGTGCAAGCAAAAAATTCAGATTCCTACTAGATGTTGGTGGTAGAAAAATTGGGTGCAGGCTCGCATCAATATGTTGATAAGGAATCAGAAGAAGTAACACACGACATTAATGATGATATAAGAAAATTGCAAGAAAGCTGACCCTTTGAAAACGAACTCAAAACCTTATATAAAATGTGAAATTAAAGAAGAATGACAAACCAACATATGTTCCCACTTATAATTATAACAAAATCCTTTTATCATCTTTGCAACTCCAAAAGGTAATAAAAACATATTGGTATCGTAAAGAGATAAAGCTACCCATGAGCTTTGGCTTATCTATAGAGCTATGAGGTACAAGTTTGAACACTAGTCGGAGCCCAATTCACCAAAAAAGAAAAAAGAGAAAATTGACTATAGTTCTGAGTACCTTGTCCCTAGGAGTTTCATAGAATCATTTGCAAAAGTCATATCTGAAACATAGTCTTCATGGGCATTAAAAGAATTACAACAAGAACGTTGCCTTGTATCCCAAACCTGCAAAGAAGGAAAAACAGTTGCTTTGCAATGTAATAGAGGATACTCGCTAAAGGCAAAAAAGAACTGAAAAAATGAAAAAATAAATAAAATTTGGTCACCTTGATACATCCTTGATCATCCCCAGTTGCAATGGTTGATTCAGTGAGGTTGATCAAACTATAAATGGCATCCCTACACAAGAATCACTTAGCACACAAGAATACAACATCAAAATATCAAGCTAAGTTATGAGAAATATATTAAATAAACCTACTCATGGGCATTTTCAACACGAGCAATTGGCGAGCCAGTTTCCACATCTGTTGCTAGAATTGAGCGATCACTTGAAGCAGTCAATAGCACTGATTCCAAAAGAACACACTCAGAAAGTGCAACTAACACTAGAAGCAACCGCAACAGCTTAAAAAAATTATAAAAGGAAGTGTTACCTTGTCCACCATTGACGAACCGGACAGCTCTACAGGAGTCACTATGCGCTTGAACTTCCAACAACCTTCAGTGAAAAATTTTTAATTATGAGTATCTTGAATTGGAGCAACTGGGTAGGCTGTAAAAAGAAGAAAAAGTTGTTTTAGCCAAATAGGTTGTACCTTTGTGATGAAGAATCAGCACTGACTCGGTATCTGTAGTAAGAAAAAGGAAAAAAATGAGATTGATGTTACAAAATGAAAAAAAAAAAAAAAAAAGGGAATAAAAAAAAAAAAAAAAAAAAAAAAAGAAAAAAAAAAAAAAAAAAGGGAATACTGACGATGGTAGACTAACAGGTGAAGGTGGCCGGTGATGAGAGCAGCAGCCACCATGTGCTCTTGAGGATGGAAATCCATTCCAAAGGGAACTTTTCCTAAATCAATCTCCATTTTCTGTATTGCTCTTTTTTTTCTTTTTTTTTTTTCCAATTAAACAAGTGTCTGCTTCAACGATATACAAGCAGTTTAGGACTGCACTCCACTGCAACACATTGATTTCAACAGTCAAAAGAATTAATTAATTAAAAAAGAAAATCACAAATTCAAACTTATTTAGAACAGGCAGTATATTACAACATTATACAAAGAAAATTCCAAGTTGCAAAAATATCAATTCAAGTACTTAAGCAAGTACAAAAGTCTCATTCTCAGAACAAAGCAACTTTCATTTTCCTATAGGCAGCACATAATCATTCTAAATAATTTTGAATTCAAAACCTATAACTGTATTTTACTTCTAATTCTTTCCTTGCTTTTAAACAGAAAAATAAAATTAAAATAAAATAAAGACACACATCAGATTAACTTCCAAACTGAATAGAATTAAAACATTAAACATTATTTGCAAGGATACATTTCATGCTTGTTTGAGAAATAGCAATGAGATTCCTCACTATCATGCTCGGAAAAGCTAGGATTTCCAGAAGAAGATGCCATTCGTTTGATGAGAAACAAAAAGGAATATCGAAAATTCGAGTGGTTTTATTTTACTAGAATCTAACCAGTCTAATATAAACACCATGGTTTCTAAAAACAAAACCAAAAATGGTAAATTATACAAATCAAAATCAAAACTATTAATGTTTTCAATCAAAAAACAGCAAACTAATCAAACAGAAACATAATCCCCTATATAGATTAAACCCAAATTTTGCAACAACAAACCCTAAATTCCAAAAATAAAACAAAACTTTGAGATTTGAAGAAATTCCAAGATCTAAAGCATACATTCAACCCAGAGAAAATTACCAATATAAAGAATCCTTGTTCCAATAAATTTCAATCTCTTATTCCAGTGAATAATTTTTGACAAACAATAAGTTTCATTTCTTTCTTTTCTTTTAAAACTCAAAAATGGACAAAATAAAACTTCATAAATCTAATCTCAATTTTCTGCTATTTACGGCTCAAAGTGAAGACTTAGATCAATCATTAGCAAAACAAAATTATATAATAAAAGCAACAAAGAAAATCAATTACGCAAAACAAGAAGCTTCAAAACTCTCTTTGTAGCCTTTAATTTTTTTTTTTTTTTTTTTTAATTTTCATTTTAAGCATAACTAACTTAGAATATTTAAATAGCAAAAAAAAAAAAAAAAAATTAGAATATTTAAATGCAAAAAAAAAAAAGAACATAAAAGTCCTTAAAATCATTCATTTTTTTTTTTTTAGTAATAAACTATTTTTAGTTCTAACTTGTTCATAATTTTACAAATTTTTAATTTCCTCCTTAGTTAAAATACCAAAGATTAGTCCGCTAGAATATGGCCTAAATTTACTTGAGTACTATAGGTTAATTTACTTTTTTTTTTTTTTTTTTTTTTGAATTTCCAACTTAAGCCTAACAAAAACAGAATTTAAACAACTTTTTTTTTTTTTTTTTTTTGAATTTCAACTTAAGCCTAAACTAAAACAGATTATTAACAACAGCAATAAATAAATAAATAAAACTCAGAATACATAAATATATAAAGAAATAAACAGCAATTTGTTCAAACTTTTAAAAAAAATTCCATTTTAAGCTCAAACTGGCTTTAGATTATACCTCTTCTGCATTGAACCCTATAAGCTAAAAACAAACAGAATAAGAACAATTACATATTTAAGAAAAAAAAATTAATTTCATGCTTGGTGCCCTCACCTCATTGCGGATGAGACCCAACCAACACTGACGCTGCTTTCTCTCTCTATCCCGGAAGCGAGGCTATGGGAGCAAGACAGACCCCCTATCAGTTGTGCTCAGTGCCAAATCAAGAGGCTAGTGGAGGGAGTGTTCAGTGCAGTGCAGTGTAAAAAAAGAAATCAATAAAAAAAAAGCAAGTAAAAAAGAGTGAAAACCTACAGAAATTAGATCAATGGGGTTGTGTTCAGGAAATATTGATAGTCGACGGAGACTTTTTTTTTTTTTCTTTTTGGTTCTTTAGCAGGCGTACTTAATGGCTAGGGTTCCTTCCTTTGTTTGAGGGAAGAAAGGACAGAAAAGAAGATGGCGAAGAAGAGATGGGATGGCGGCCTTTGTTTTAAGAGTATTAAATCATATATAGCATTTTAATATATATAATAAAATAATAGAAATTCCATTAGAACTAGGGTTGGCAGAGGTATACACCAAAAATTTCATATCCATACCTGTTGACAAAATAAAATACCCAAATCCATTATCCTAATTTACTCAAATCCAAATAGCATTACTGTTGCTACCTAAACCCATATAAAAACCTGATTAACACAAAATGAACAAGATCACAAATATTTGAACCATATAAATACCGGTTTCATACCCAAACCCGTATAGAAAATGACTATAAAATTCAAACTAAGCCATATATAACACAAGCAAACCGATATCTCAAAAAAAAAAAAAAAAAAAAAAAAAAAAAAAAAGCAACCGATATCTCAAAAAAAAAAAAAAAAAAAAAAATTACCGACATCCAAAATTTTCATAACTTGGGAATGAAGTAACACAATCCAATTGAATAGTCCCTTTTTCCCCTCTTTGTTGAGCTTTTGTCCCCACATATAGGGTGGCAAACAGCTAATGGGTAACCGGCAAAAAAAAAACTCCTCGTGCCCAATTCCCTTAAGGAATAAAACTAATAATAACCCAAACCCCGTCCCCAAACCAAATTTAGAAAAAATACCCGTTATTCACAAATTTTTATTCATAATTCTATAACTTTCCGTTAAGGTATTTCACAATCAGAATCCCAGCAAATATTCAATTCCATTAAACCCTAAATCCCTTGTATATGGCCATTTCCCATAATTGGGTACATCATGCCGCATTCCTCAAGACAATCAACAATTTAAGAGTAAAAGCCAAATCATCACCCAATATAACAAATGGAACTGGGTTGTAGAAACCCACATTTAATTTTTTGCAATGTAGAGATTTCACCATTTTTGTAACAAAAAAAGCTGAAAACCCCATTCAAATTAAATTTCAACAATTCTCCTCCTCTGTCTGTTTTATATGTGTTTAAAAAAAAAAAAAAAAAGAAAGAAAAAGGAACCGAAACAAACGAAAAAAAAAAAAAAAAAAAAAAAAAAGAAAGAAAAAGGAACGAAACAAACGAAAAAAAGGACTGAAAAATGAAATAAAAAAAAAATCAAGACCTGGCTGAAGAGCACCTCTGCTGCAGAGGCGATGGCCAAGAACGAAACCAACGGGAAGGTCTTCAAGGAAGACTGTGGGTGTGGCCGTGGAAGTGCAGAAAACGAACGGCGCAGGGAAGGGAGGAGAAAATGCGTTTGATTTGATTCGAGTTTGAGAGAACCTTCTGTTTGTGTGATTAAAATCCAACCTAGGTTAAAACCACGGGGTTTTGGTTGTGGATTCACTTAAACCTCCTACATCAAACGACGTCGTTTTGATGGTAAAGTGGTTATTTTTCTTATTATTATTATTATTATTATTAAAGTTATTATTATTATCAAAGAAGTTATTATTATTATTCTTATTAGTTTTTTTTTTTTTTTAAAGAATACCGCTTAATTATTATTAGTATCAAAGAGCAGTACATCCCAAATAAAATATGGAAGGTAACTATTCAACTCCAATAAACCATACATTGAAACAACAGCCCCAAATAAAATATGGAAGGTAACTATTCAACTCCAATAAACCATACATTGAAACAACAGCCCCAAATAAAATATGGAAGGTAACTATTCAACTCCAATAAACCATACATTGAAACAACAGCCCACAGCAATTTTTTACTAGAGTCCAAACAGTATTCGAACAGCATTTTTAGGGAGCATTCAATGTGTTTACTTAAAGTTCAAAAATATAGTATATATCAATTAGATTGTTCGTTAACTTCAATATTTGTATTATTGTTAGGTTCGGAGAGGTTTCATCAAAACTAAATCCCTTAATGTTTAGAATGATTTTGACACTTACTACCAATGTTGTTTTCTTTTCCCTGGCTTACAAATTCTACTTGCAATAACACTCTTTTTTTGAATTTGGTACTCTTGTTATTTATTAAATTTTTCTTTCTCAAAATCTGCAAAGGGAATATATGTCATTTTAATTTATTTTATTATATTTCTATTGTTTAAAACAAGAATAAGAGGCATGCTGTCAAAGTTTTAAATAACATAAAAAATATGTCTCTTCTTTTTATTTAATTTCTTTATAATCATTTGTTATAGAAAAAACTTTGAAAAAAAAAATTAGATAATAATTTAGAAAAAAAACACTTGTTTTATATATATATCATCTCGTATTTTTTTATCAATTAGTCTATTTCATTCTATCAGTTTCATAATTTTTGAAATTTTAAGTAACTTCTAATGTCCTTTTTGTCTATTTTAATTTTAACAGTTAATTAAATTTTTATTCTTACCTAACACTTTTACTTTAAAAACCAATTACATAAACACCTAACAGCTAACAAAGATTAACAACTGTATACCGTTAAAAAATATTAGAACAATAACAGCTACTATAACATTTGATTACTTGCAAACAGACCCAGTCAGTGAGCCACTTGATTTGCTATTTTTTTAATAAACTAAAGCGTGTAACGATAGTAAATTCTCGTGCATGAGATTTACAATCATGAATTAAATTATACAAAAATAGGGAGATTGATAAACAATCATCTTTTTCCAGAAGCTTGCTTCACCATTAAGATTATCCATTTCCAACACCACCTGCCTCTCAACAAAGTTGTGGCCTCAGCCAGCTTAAGGCCTCTCTTCACTCCCATAACTTTCAGTTCTACGGCCATATGCATGCACCATGCATGCAAAAAATTCGCCATTACTGATTACGTTATCACCATTCCCAACACGAAGCGCACACCAGTATTGACAACCAAAGCTCCGCATCTACATTACATTTATGCATGTCCAGCAGTGGATACCATTGCCAACAAAAGCAGGGCAGGAATATTATAATTTACAGAAGTGCCTTGACAGATTGGCCACTCTTGCAAATAACGAGTTGCCTTGTAGAGTACATTACGAACATTTTATTATTAGTTATTAATTTTAATTAAAAGGCTATAATATATGTTCTGTTATGAAATAAGTGAATGTCCTGTTTTATGGACTAAAAGCTGTAATTTGTTAATTATTGCAAAACTTTATTCTTCTTGTTTGTACAAGACTCTATCAGGTCTGGCATTTATGTTAAATTATATACATCTGGCTTATCATGATTATATAAGTTTGTTGTTTTGTTTTTGATTCTTTCATCTTGCACGCATATTTATTTAAAAAAAAAATGTTGTTCTTTCGAACTTTTAGTATAAATTGTTAAATATCCAAAATTCTTTTCTTTATTGTTTTTTAATTTATTACGTATTCCCACAATTTTATTTCAATAGTTAAAAAAAAGAAATAATATACCTATTCATGTTTCATATATTATAATATTCTTTCAAAGTTCGATAACTGTAATTTTGTTTAAGTTGTTTAAGTTTTGAAAAGGTAATTCTATTTTATATTCTTTTTAGATTATTTGAAATATTGGCATATTAACATTTGGCATGTAATCTATAATAATATTTTGGCATCATTGCACGTTTAAAATACTTTCTATTGGTGTCCATTGGAAGTTATTTTATTTTATTTAGTGTTTATTTACAATCAAAACTTTAAATTATTTATTATGGCTTATTTATCATTAAATTGGAACTTCAGCACATCAACTACCAAGAAAAAAAACAACTTAGCGATAAAAACTAATTAGATTTTACACCATCAAAAAATAGCGACAAAAAAAAAAAATTGATGCCTAAAACATTTGTCGCCTATTTTTAACGACAAAAACCATATTTTCGTTGTAAACAAGCGACTTGATTTTGTAATTTTTGTAAGGTAATTTTAGAAATAACAGTGACAAATTGAATTTGTATTTTGAATTTTCGCTAATTTTATTGGTATTTTGTTAATTGTCTCGATTTTGTCGTTAAATTTATTTGCTATTTTAATAAATGATTTATTTTGTCGCTAATTTTCAAAAAAAATTTGAGCACTTAAATTACATAACTAACTTGCTTTATTATATAACTTTGAAAACCTAAATAATCAACAATTTCAATTCAACACCCACATACCATAACACACCGTACCATCGCAAAATAATTCAACACAAACATGCGATCGACACTGTATTTATTCAGCAACATCCTTTAATGCTTGATAGATCGGTCACTCAAATTAAATATACCTTACTACTTCAACCACTCTAATTTTATGTATGTTCAAATATTCAAAATTATATTAACAATATGGAGATTAGAAAGTTAAACATACTTTTACTTCGTGAATTTAGCTAAACCCTAGGATCATCATGATAATTAAGTACTTTATCATATATTATCATCCCCAGTAATTGCGCCAATATTGTATAAGAGACTATTGTTGCGCACATAGTAAACCATTACTATGCTTCCATTTTCATAAAGTAAGACAACTTACATTGAAACACTCAACAAGACAGATGGTGAACAGGACGACACTACTAATCCATATGCATGAAAAACACGGAAGATCAACAAATAGCAAAATACAAGAGAATACGAAAACAAGAGATAACAATTTCCAAAATGCTGTATCAAACTTTTATTCAATCTATAATCCATTCTTCAATTATATCTAATGTTATATGCTTTCTAGCAAGTGGCAGGTGAGGAGCCTACACTTTTTTGTGAGCTTCAAGGCAAGATTCCTGGGTCAAATTCCAAAAAAGGAAGCAAGCAAATTGGAATTTCTTTGTAGGCGCAAACACAACGCAATCGGCGATTGAGAACAGCACAGAGCAACAGCCACTAGTTGGCTGGTTCAGGTTGGGAGGAGTAACAGCTGGCCTGGCATTCCTTAGCCCAGCTTTAAAAACTCTTGATTAGGAAATGACCCGATATCTATTTTAGTACTTGATTATAAATAGTCTGGATAATTTGTCCCCAAACAATCTGATCTTTATTTACCAACTCTAGCAAAATTAGGTTAGACACAACTCCTTACTATTTCTTCTTTCATTCTGAATTCACCTCAAACTTCACCTTTTTAGAATTAGAGTTTAATTATTTTCACTCATATAAACTACTTTTCAAAACTCCTCTTCTAGCTTATCCAAAGGCCTCTCTTTGGAGTTCACAAGTCAGATGATTTCTTCTGATATATTTCTGATAAACTTTGAACGTAAACATGTCAAGGCCTTTGCGACTTCTTGGCCTTTTGCTCCTCAGTAAATTCTTCACCTTTGAGCCATGTTGATCAGACCAAGACGGTGTCTGGATTTGCTCCGTCTATATACTTTCCACCAAATTCAATATCTTCAACATAAGCTTTCAGGTTTATTACCCATATATGGTAATTTTCTCCATATAAACATTTGGAGGTCAGTTCCTAAAAATTTGTACTAGATGAATATCTTAACGTATTTCTTGTTTTATCCTCAACTAGAAGTAAGAAAAGAATTTCTCTGCCCCACTTCATTAGGACCCTTTATGCAAAACAAGTTCGGCTTGATACCACTTTTTGTTACTTTAGAAACTTTTGACACCACTGTAATAGAAAAACTAAGAAAGAAACACAATTTAATAGAAAAAACCAGTAATAGTAGACAAAGAGAAAAAGTTTAGAATTTAAACTTCTTTAATTTTTTGAAAACTACTTTGTTGCTTAATTACAGACTATCATATGGTAGGCTATTATAGATATAAACTAGCAGTTGTAACAACTTGAAGACATTAAACTCTAGTTTGAAACCTAAGCTATTAAATTACATAGGAAAACTTAAGCCTAAATGCAACAAGAAACTCTTGCCATTTATTTTTGGAAACTAACTAAAGAAACCATTAGAATGTACAGTAAAGTAAATTCTTAACATACTTTAACAAAAGATACTAAACTTCTCTCCTAGACAAGGTGCTTTTCTGTTCTACATCTTCCAAACACTTGATCTATAACAAGCTTTACTCAATCATTCGCATTGGGGAAGTTTCTAGTGAGACTAGAAGATCTCTATGACAGGCTATTGTATTTTTCATTGGGATTCTTAGTTAGTTGGAAATCCAAGAAGCAAAATATATTATTCCAAAGAGTATTGCAGCGAAGCAGAGTTATAAGCATGTGACCGAATAACAATATGGAGGTTTGTTTGATTATTTATATTACTAATAGATTTTTAAATGTAATTCTCAAGAGCTTTGTTCTATGTTCAATGACAATATGTTCATCAATGCATATGAGCCAAGCAATCCATGCTTTCTGATGAAAAAACCCTAAAACATATAGAGCTTTAATTGTACATTTATCGTATCAAAGGGAAGAAGCTCGG